AACCTAATGAGTGGCGCCGGTATGTCAAACATGGACATGGCATCTCTATCATGACGTCGACATCGAGAGAGTCCGGTGCGAGGACTGGCAGGTCGAGAGGTTTGTCATAGACTACCAGTCCTTAGACAAGGCCTACGATATGCTCGTGAAGGCGATGCGATGGAAGAAGTCATACGGCATTCACGACAGGAGTTATGCATACTTTCCCAAAGAGTTTCAGATAATCTTCGGCTCCTATACCCGGGACAGTGAGGGACGGGTTATCCGGTGGGCTGTGGGAAAAAATTACCGCAAAATCGCCGACTTTTCACAAATATTTCAACAATTTCTGTGTCATTGCGTTGAGACAGAGGACAGGCTGTCCGGTAATAGAGGTATCACTGGTGTTAACCTAATGAGTGGCGCCGGTATGTCAAACATGGACATGGCTAACGGCATGTTTATGATCGAGGTGATGTCGTACTACCCACTGGTGCTATGTTTGAGTCTCGGTGTGGACTTACCCTGGATATTGAGTGGTTTAATAAAGTTTTTTCTGAGTTTGTGTCCGAAAAATATCAGAAATAAAGTGAAGATCATATCAATGGATGAATTGGGAGAGTATTACGACGTGGAGGACATTCCCACCACTTTTGGCGGTAACCTCGAGATCAGTCATACATATATCGATGAGATGTCAGCCCTCTATGAGTGCAAACACTTGGGTTTCAGTGATAAACAAATTGACAACTTTTATGAAGTTTATAAGGATTTGTTTGATTATAAAAATTAAAATTATTTAATCTATCTAACATAACATTTAAATCAATATTGTATAATAAATAATCAATATTACTTTTATTATTAAATATTGTTACATATTGCTTTATAAATACAAATATATTATATTTATTCTCTTATTGTAAACTAGAAATAACAAAATATACTGTATATTAATATTAATTATTAAAATAAAATATTTTCATTATACTTTTGCATTTTAATATATAGTATAATAATATTAATAATACTGTTAATATTATATTTTGTTAATCTTAATAATAATAACCTGTGTGATTAATTTAATGGTACAGTTCATAAATGTTTGCAATAGTAGCATCATTGAAACCAAGCATACAATATTGTACAATGTACATACATCAACTTAAAAATTAATCACAAATTAAAAATTATCAGTAATATTCAAATATACGACCACCAAAATAGCCCAGGTGACGGTGTTTGTGTAGATAAACTATCCCACCCAATAACAACAGCCCGCCCACAACCACGAGTGGCTACCATAGCCGTCAGATGGCCTCCCGGGGCAGTCACGGGAATGGGCGTCAGGTCGAGGGTTTTGAGCAATAGGCTGACCACTTGTGCCGCCTCTGACGCAATCGGCTTCAGCGATATGCTCCACACAATTGCGTAGGTTTTTAAAGGTCTCGCATTGGGTCTACCGGTGCCCGCGATATATAGTATATACACAACGTATATATTAAAAGTCGGCAGTACTTATGCACAGTACACATACCTGATGATCCCGTTCCTTTTCAGGTATACTGGCCGCCCTATCCAGGAATCTCTTACAACAGGCGCGCGTGAGTTTGTCAGACAGACTGGCCATACATGACGTTCCCTTCGCGCTATCCTTCAGGTTATCAATGAATGGACACTCAATAGGACTGTAATTATGTATGAATTCATAGTTAAAATGAGTCAATATATTACAAATTAATTTCATTTTAATTTTACACTGCTCAAAGTATAACTGTAAAATGAATGCTATTAAAATTGTATTAATTTTATATACTTATTATATAATATTAGATGAGTCTAGTCATATTGTAAATGGCTCGCCCTTGGTAAAATAGACAAAACAAACAAAATTCTCATATTAACATTTCGCCAGGGTGGGAACTAAATGTGTATAACTCGGCGCTTGATCTTATGAACCACCATGTTTTTCAAAAAAGTTCATAACATCGAGCGGTTCATAAAAACGAATATTGAAAAAAGAAGTATGAAAATAAGCCAATATTATTTTGCCTGGTCAAATTAAACACGTCGATATATAAATAAGTATTTCATGCGTTTATTATTTTGTTTTGACCTAGATAAATAATTTTATAAATAATAACTTTAAAATCAAAATATTTTTCAACCGCTAGAAGGAGTTAAAGTCAAATATATTTATAAATAATCAAGAATTTTAAATGTCTGAGCAAATAAAACTAGGGCTTTCATAATAAGGGTTTTATTAAATTTGAAAAGAGACTTTTATGATAAGAGTATATATTAAAGTAAAATTATAAATTACTATATAATTTATAAATAATTTATTATTTTAATTTTTCTAACTTTAGTTTTATATTTTAAATTTTGACTATTTTGTAAATATAACACTACTTAATCATATGATATTATAAATGTACATACAATAAATAGTGAAAGTATATTTTACAAAAAATTAGCCATTCAATTACATTTCATTTCACAAAGGAATTTGGTTTTCCAAAATATGCATTGACCCCACTGTAATCCTGTGTATTTTTAATGAATTTATAATAAATATTAAATATTAAGCAATCAATGGAAAAACAATTTTCTATTTGGTAATTTGAAATACTTAGGGCATTTACTGACATACTCCTTTATTCATAAATTAAAAGTTGTAATTAATTTTATGAAAAATCATTAGTATATAAAAAATTAGTTTTTGTGAGTTATTTTAGTGTTAGTTTTTAGCCATAAGTTATTTCTGTGATTTACAAGATATTTCAATTTTTATAAAATATAAGTTCATAAAATCCAATGGGTTTAACATAGATTTATATTCATTTGTACTTTCAAATTGGTTCATAATATACAGC